CGAAATTAGGCCGAATATATCCAATTTCAAAGTCCAAGGTCATAAGCTGACTTTCCAAGTCAGTTTAATGACCCAACTTAAGTTGGGAAATCGAGACCTCTTGAAACTTCGCAAAGTTAGGGTGTTACGGGGTATTTTGGGGTGCTGATCACGAATTTCATGTTAGTTTTGATCACAGACGATGTCTTTATGCGTTTAGGCCAGGTCGGGTCAGGTCAGGTTTGATCAATTAGTAGGCGTCCTGCCGGCCATCCATAGAAGTGTCACCTACTACTGATAGCTTCGTAACATGGAACGAAGGCACTAGAACTACTTCGTAAATATTCAAATGGCTGCTAAAATCGAAATCAGCACCAAAAACTACCGTAGAAACAAGTAAAACTCGAAAAAGTGAACCAAGGTCATCAAAAGGTCAATGACCTTGACTTGACCTTCACGTGACCTTGCCACCCACCATTATGCATGGCACCAGCATCATTTCACATATTTGAACGTTTAAAACCACAACAAGACTGGAAACCGCGGATAATGTGAGCTGGCATACGCCGAATCGCGATTCCGGCCAAACATGGTCTCGAGAAATATGCCACAGGTCAAAGGTCAGTTGGATCAGAGTCATGAAATTTTTAGGTTAGATGTAAAATTGATGATCTCGAGGGTACCGAAAGTTTTGGCGCGATCGGCCGCTTTTTGCGCGAGTAATTTGCGGAAAACCATGGGGTTTTATCCGACCCCTTTCCCCTCCCCCTCCCCACAAGTGCGATGGTTAATAAGGCTACGGTATGTATAATTTACGCTTGTCATCCTATTCCTAATGAATGTGTCTCAGAAAATATGCATCATATAAATCACGAAGTAAAATTATTCGCCTATGTCCGGAACATACCTATATCGTGCTGTTTGCCCTAGCGCTCCTCGAGTGGGGTGTTAAGATACTCTAATGTGAATATTCCGTGTTCAGGCAAGTTTCGGCAGCCAAACTAGGCGTTGTCTTGTGCAGAAGAAAGTGGCGATTTCGATAGGATATATTTCGGAGTGGAAAAGTGTGGAGAACATTGTTGATTTCCTACATTTATTTAGAATACCATTCCTTCAATATGGTGTCTGTAAGGGTTTTTTGTAAAGGGCATTTTTGTGACCTTAGTAAGGTTGTGGCATACTTTCTGTTTGCCATTCCATTCCTAATAAAGGTGCCTTTCAGACGATATGCAACTTTAAGACCTCGCAAGATTAAAACCAACAGGACAGGACAATGAAATTGAGCTATACTTTCGGGCCTTGCTGAGCCCATTGAGTAATCACGCATGAGTGTGAACTTTGGGCGCATTTTTCCTAGTTTTGCTGTGGACATACAGATAAAACAATGCCATATATGAAAAATTCAGACATTTCTTAGCCCTACTGACACAAAAAATAAACAAAAATCCAAAAAATATTTTTTGAATTAATAGGCGCCAGATCGGAAAAATCCCCACTGTGCTATGGTTACATAAAACGGCATCGTGATTTAACTTTTCACATATGTCCATTTAAGTTTATTTTTAGTTTACAGCATCTTGAATCTGCGACCTGTCAGCTAGCCACTCATATGAAGAACACTTATACGTAAGTAAATCGAAGGCCTCCAGCCTCGTGACATGAATGTGCATACCGTTTATCGCGTGTTTTTGGCTGCGAGGAATTCTGCTTCCGTAAGAATCGATCACTTGTGCTCTACATAGTGTGCATTGCGGTTTGGATTTGAGAGAGGCACCAGGTTACTGTAACAAGCATTTTCTCATTTTACCGAACCCATACCACTTTCTTGCGTCCCCGCATGTTTTACCTCGGGAGTCGGGAATCCTTTCTTATGGAGAAAGCTATTCCTCGCTCCTACCAGTTACATAAGGTGCTACGCTACGACTTAAGTGAATAAATGTCACGATCTGCGGTCCTCCACCTCGAGCCACGTGCGAGCTGTGGAGAGGAACTTCCAGAATCCAGAGGAATTGATCGCTATGAGTGGCTCCTTGGTCGACTGGTCTCAAATACAGAATTAGAGAGGTGTGACAGGCTGGGATAACGTCTCACAGAACCACTTTCGAGCACAGTGATCAGTCCGACAAGCTATTTCCACCGGTAGGCTCTCATAATCTCCGTTCTGAGTTATTCAAGATAGGCCCAAGACTTATTTAAAGGTCATGGGAGGCTGGCGCCATCGAAGCTTTTTATTTAACCTCTCTCGCTCAACTGTCCCCAAGCTCTATAGCTTAGCGCATGCACCTAGCTAACGTTTACCAACTGCAACTTCTGTCCTACCAGTAAATAGCATAGCCAATGCGCCAACCCACACGGCCAGTGGCGAAGCACTATGGTCGTTATCCCCACACCAGTAAACCACCGACCACCGCGCTCTAGTTTCACCGTCCACCTACACTGCAGCCCTCAGAAGGTGATTCGCCAATAAAACCACCTCGACAGGCAGCCCTCCATCCGGAATGACGCCATCCAGCGAGCCATCACCGTGCGCCGAATTAGCCGCCGCCTTTGTCCCTCCCTACATTCACCACCTTATGAGAGTTTCCGCAGCTTCCGACAAGGCTGCCATCGATCCGTGGCAGTCTCAGACTCCGATGACGTCACACGTCCGTGTCCCAGACAACTCCAGTGACGTCACCGGCGGCTGAGAGTGTGGCCGGCGATAGCATCGGCGGCGCGTTGGTCGTGTGTTTCCTCAGAGACCGCGCTATGGTCTGGGGCAGCCACTGCCGCAGTTGGGCTGAGGGATGACTGCCCCAGGGAGTGCTCTGGGCGCGCGGGTGTGACCGAGGACGGGGCGATGGGTATAAGGTGATGGAGGCGGGGTGTGACTTCGGACGGGTCAGTGGGGACAAGGTGTCACCGAGGACGAGGCGTAGGGGACGGGATTCGACTGAGAACAGAGGCGATGGGAGCAGGGTTGGACTGAGAACAGGGGGAAGGGAGTGATCAAGGATGTGCCAGGGGGGACGAGGTGTCGTAGAGAGCGGGACGATTGGGACAAGATGCCATCGAGTACCGTGCGATGGAAACGGGATGGGACTGAGAACAAGGGCGATGGGGACAAGGTGTGACCGAGGTGATGGGGACGGGGCATCACCGAGGAGGGGGTGATGGGGACGGGTAGTAAGGTCAAGGACGGGGAGTTGAGCGGAGGTTGGGGAAAATTGTGGAGTCGGTAGTGTTTGTTGTCAGGGGTCGGATGACGCCGCGCCAGGAGACGTTTACTCAGATCTCAAATCCACTCCGACATCTCCGATGCGCACCAGTGACAACGCTTTTCTCTACAGAATTCACTGCAGTGCTTAGCTACCAGAATATTGCGCCATCAGCTTATAAGCTTATAAGCTTATGGCACGGATGGCAAATTTCTCTGAGCTTCACTTCATGGATTAAAAAAAGAATTGGAAAAGCCGTTGCCACTACAAACATAAAAGTGGCACTACACAAGAAAGACATTTCTGCTCCGGGCGTCTCGCCTCTCAGCTTTCTTCTATCACCGGCCATCACTGCTGCTAGTGGCCGTTGGTCGCCAGGCGTCGGAACTCGGATGAACCTCATCAGACGCCGCGGCCGCCTCATCGCGCTCCGACAGAGACGCAATTCAGTCTGAGCACCGGTCCAATCCAGTTCGAAAAGCGCTGGTCGAATACGTTGCAACCCGCAGCAGGGGTACAGTGCAATCCTACCCTAGAGATGGTTCAATTTATTCGACCTCAGCACTGTACCGGTCCAATCCAATGCGATTTTATCAGTAACACCAGTCTTTTCAGTTCGACCTTGGTGCTTGTTCATTCCAATCTGACCTTCAGAACTGGCTCAAAATGACCTCATCACCGGTCCAATCCGATTCGACGTTATCACTGGTCCAAGCTGATTCGACCTCAGCATCGCATCGGTCCAACCAAGTTCGACCTTGACACCGGTCCAATCCGGGTCAACCTTATCACTAGTCCAATTCGATTCGACCTCATCATCGGTCCAATCAAGTTCGACCTTCTCCTGACCGCCGCCGTCCGGCGTCCACTGCGTCGGTTGGAGGATGCTGCATTTTACATGGTCGGCGGCGCGACACGCCAGCAAACCCGAGCGAAATCGACCGTGGGCGGTGTTGGGGGTCGTCTGGAGCGCGAGATAGAGGGGGCGGAACAGGGGGAGGGGAGGTGGGCTCCCTCCACCGACCGAGCAGCCTGAGGTGTTGCGTTCGCTGAGGAACGCCGACCACCTGTTGTGCGGTCCATCGAACAGGGCATCACGCCAGCCGCTGGCTCGCCAGGCCTGATGGTTATTATGGCGCCAGCTGATCGGCATGGCCACGCCAGGGCAGCGCAGTGCCGCGGCCGGCGACACGCGAGGACCGGACGACCGACGGGGACCACCGGACGGTCGGCTGATGCGCCACGCTAATGGGAGTACAGCGCACCGTAATAGCTGCTTAGGATAATGTGAATGCCAACAGGCGATTAGAGAAGTTTGCATAGTTCATGGTATGTTATCAAATATTTCCATTGCGTTAAGTGTTATTTGGCTATACTTTGGTCTAAGTTGCTCAGGTAATGAGGGAACATTGATCTGTTTGTTCAGTAAATAATGCAATGATAGCTACCTTCCCTAATCGACTTGGGTAATAGCGTGACGATATTCCATACTGTTCCAATACTCCTCATAATGAGCAATGGAGCAGCCCGACCCTCTACATCCCCGGTGCCACAAAAGTTCCTCGCATCGCACAAGAGCCCGACTTCTGGCGAGTTGCACTTACTAAGCTACCACGCCACTCGCCAGGGAAGGTTAGTAAATATGCTAAAATGTAACCTGGCATTTTGAGGCGACGCGTGCTCAAAAACCGACAACCATCTCTCACAGAGAACTGCCTGAGAGCTCTCTGAAGTCACCATGTCACCTGACTCCCGTCCCCCGATCTGTCGACAGGCGGTAGCCGTGGTGGACGTGGTCGTGTACTACGAGGCTTTCTGTCCAGACAGCCGCTCCTTTATCTCCGACCAGCTGTGGCCGGCCTACCAAAGGATGCCCGACACGCTGCGGGTCGAACTCGTGCCTTACGGAAAGGCAAAGGTATGTGTGCGACTACATATGGCGATATTCGTTTGAAACCCTTACTTTGAATTTTTGCATTATTTGCGTTTGCTGAAAAAAAGTTATTCCATTTATGCTTGGGATCGAAAGGTGTTAAATGCTTAGCACTTTATATGTATAAAATTTTGTGAATACAAATATAAGCAGAAACACAGCGGGCATGTGTGAATGAATAGCATTTTGTCACATGGTCAATAAAACCCAGCCGTTGCGTGACCTAAAATGGTAGTATGTAAATATGCAGTCACCACCTGCCTCGTTATTTACTCATTTGATTGAATGCATAAAACATCGCTATTTCATGGTTACCTCATAACTTGTATTGCCAGCTCTGAAGTGTTTTGACAGAACTTGAAGTGTTTTGACAAGCATGTGGTTTCAGCGTTTCCAAACATCCACAGCAAGTCTGCACACCGCCCAGCAGTTCAGCAGATCTATAGCCTTGAGCAGACCGCTCCCAATAGCATCGTCATCTGTGTTAGGGCGGCAGGCTGTCCATGATGAATTACAATGGTGTGCTCCTCCGAGAAACACCAATCATAGATCATCACACCACTTGCATATATAGCTCGCAGGATATATATGTGGGAATTTAGCAGAGCAGGCGCATGGTCTCGCAAGGAAAATGAATTAAAGTATTTGTAGTGAACGTCGCCTGCCCACGATGTCTTTTAGGGGAACGAATGTGCTGCTTTGACAGGCAAAATATTAAATAATGTACTATTAAAACTAAATGGAGAGGACGAAGTTGTCTCCGGATGGTTCCTTTCCCCTAAGCTGAGATGTATATTTAGCAGGTGCTTGCTATAGCGGTGAAATTGGCCCATAGTCTGTACCGGTCCCAGGAGAGGCGTTCCAGTAATTGGGTGCCCACTTCCGCCACAGATTAGAGTCCGCGAGGCGTAGAAAGCGATAATTGTATTCTTCAAATATTCATAACGGTTGGCCGTCGCACGCTTAACAATAAGCGATGCTTATGAGTGTTGATAAAGCTGCCTGATTTACGTATTTCTGAATTTCTTCAGTATATCAGTGAACTGATTGCATAGGTAAAGAGCTTTGCCAAAAGGAAGATTTCGTACTTTCGACGTGATTTCTTAGGACGGTTATCAAGAATTAACTATATTGCATTGACATTCGACGTTGCATTTGACCATGAGTTTTGTTGGCAATGCTCTTGGACATTTGTGAATTGTGAGCACGATTTTCTTGGTCATATCAATGAAGGTGAACTATGTGATTTATGCATTTCCATTACGTGTTCGTAATTTGGCGATTGTCAGTCGGAATCATGTTTCGATTTTCTAAATCATGCATATTCTTGTTAACGTTGTTTGCGTGTCTGGATATTGCTCTGCTGTTCTGGGCTGGAAAAAGATGCACAATGCACATGTGCATCACCAATACGCCAATAAGCCTTTAAGATGCATTATAAATGCTCCCCCAAGTACAAACTACAATAACGTACGTTTACTTTAATACACACATATTTGTGTCATAAAAAATGTTTGATGTATTTGTATTATATTTGTGTGTTATAATTGGTCAACCACCTAGATGTCGTTTTTCATCACCAAATGTAGACGATGATGTACATAATTACCTATTATATGTGTAAAATGATACCATTTTATACATTGTTCAAAATGTTTTTGTAAATTTGAAAAAGAAAGTTTTTAATAAATGCTCCTCATACAGTACTTTGCTCCGGATTTATATCCCCGTAAGTCATATGTTTCCCAATGTCATGTTCCTGCAGCTATGAGAAGCGCCCCCTTCCATTTTGATTTGGCGGTGGCCTGGTTAGTAGGGTGTGTCATTTTGGGCACTTTTTTCGCAGAACATGGTGCTCCAATGATTTTATCGTGCCCCAGACACGTAGAAACCGTGTGACATTTTTTATTTCCCCCAAATATTAACACCCATGCGGCGCCGACCGCCGACACTTTGGCCTATCTCTCAGCATTAGCGACCTCAGCGCCCCTAGCGGCAATGTTTTGAACTAACACGCCCGCTATGCTTTGTGAGCTTACGATCATCATTAAATGCATTTTACCGAAATGACGCCTTGCTGTTGGCTTGTCTGGCACTCAGAATGTTGGTGAAAATGTGATGTTATGCATCTTAAAGCACGAAATAGTTCTGTGTTAATGTATATTGCATAGTACTACCCCCGATCCCCGTCCTGGTCTGACGGGATACGTACGAGCGCATGTTTATAGTGCCTGCTATTAGGTGTCACATGTTTTTTTTTTGTAGCGTCGTTCACTGCATAGACCCCGGGGAACAGGGGGGTGGGGGGCAGTGGGGGCGCTTGCCCCCCCCCCCCTCCAACTTGAGAGCCGAGTGGGCGCCGCCCCCTCAACATTGATGCAACGATGAAGGATCTCTGCTCCCTTTTATGGACCTACATGTCTGTTTTTGTATAAACATCAGCACAAGGTATTTCTCTTGCATGTGAAGTGAATGGTTTCTGCTGACTCGGCATCGATTTAAGAACACCTGCTATTATCATCCCACTTTGATTTTATCTGAACTTGATCATAACTTTGGTAGGTCAGATTTTATACTGGACCATTTTGGTTCCGGATGGTATTTGATTTGGCGTGATGAGAACATTATGACGTACAACGGTGGTAAAGTCGTTGATTGATACAGGTTTACTCGCTCCGGTGGGAGGCAGTAGCGGCGGAACACCTTCAATTAAGTGGAGGGGGGGGGGACACTGCCGACTTTTGGTCCCATTCTTTCCATGCAACGCCCATAGGGCTAATGTTAAAATGCCCAAATCAGAGGGGGCACGGTGCCCCGGTGCCCTCCCCGTTCCGCCGCCTATGGTGGGAGGGCGGCGTGTGGGACTCAGAAGGAGACTAATGGCTTGTGTTGTGCCTTTGGTAGGACCCTCAGTATCACCGATGCAGGGCCTTCAGAGCCTCCAATTAGGGGCCTTTAGAGGCACTGGTGTGGGGTCCTCACATACGCCCGTGTGGCCCCTCAGAGGTGCTAGTGTGAATCCCTCATAAGCACCGGTGAGGGTCCTCACAGAATACAGACGCCGTTGTGGACCCTCAGAGACACTGGTGTGGGTCCGTTACATGTGGGTGTGTGGCCCTTAGAGCTGCTGGTGCGAACCCTTTAAAAGTCGGCAGGGGGCCCTCAACGACCGGGGAGGGGGACCTCAGACCGGCAAGGGGCCCACAGAGGCCGGCGGCATCTTCAGAAGCCCTGTGGGGTCCTTAGATACCGACAAGGTACTCTGAGACGCCGGTGCGGCCCTCAGTCTCTGATGTAGGACCCTCAGAGTTGCAGGTAGGTGGCCGTCAGATATGCTTTTGCCGAACCCTCACAGGCGCAGGTGTGGGTACCTCAGAGCCACCAATATAGGGTTGCATAAATGGTGTGGCACTGGCTTGGGGGACCCTCAGTGGTGTCCTTATGGGCCCTTAGAACCACTGGTGTGGGTCTCTCAGAGGTGCTGGTTGTGAACCCTCAGAGGCCCTGCTGAGTGCCCTCACGGTCTCCGTTACGGGATCCTCAGAAGCCGGCGTAGACCCTGACGGAGATGTTAGTGTGGCTACTTAGGGGCTCATGAGGTGCTCTTACGAGACCTGTGAGGTCTTTCTCAGCTGAAATATAGTCAGCGTGGACCCTCAGAGGTCAGTTGGTACCGCAGGGGTCTTTATGGCCGGGTGGGCTCTCGGAAGCACCAGTGAGGGCCCTCAGTCTCACAGTCGTCGTAATGGGGCCGTCTGAGACATTGGTGTGAGGCCATTACTGATTACAGGTTGGCGTAAGGCCCTAGATATGGCCCCTCTTGGGCCGGCAAGGACTCTCAGAGGCACGCTAGCGGCCATAAGAGGCCGGTAAAGGGCCCTCAGAGGCCGCCAGTAGCCTTCAGAAGCCGGCGTGTAACCCTCATGGACAATTTAGTGAGGCTTCTTTGGACTCACGAGGTGCTGTTACGAGCCCTATTCTTTCTGAATCGAAATATGGCCAGCATAGACCCTGAGCGGTAAACTGGTGCCACAGAGCCCCTCCGACCCGAGGGGTCCTCTGAATGCGATAGGGGGGGGGGACTAGATGGCACGTGCCTCCTGGGACCCCCTGACTACGCTACTATTTCATATGCGTCATGTCAGGTATTTTGGGCTTGCACCCCAACTTGAAGAATGTTCCTTGGCCCCTGTGACAATATATAGCATTCATTATAGGTATTCGTCATTAGCTTGCACTCTCTGCAATCTACCCATACTATTATTTGTCCCTAGACGCGCTTACAGAAAGCAGGGATAAGCCCATACAGTCAACGGCCTGTTAGTTTCGCAAACAGCCGCCAGGGGCGCTAAGATCGCCTATGTTGTGAGATAGGGCAAACTTCTCTCGCTCGGCGCCGCCTGGGGGTTAAAAGTTGCGGGAAATTAACAATGCCACGCCCTTTCCACATGAGTGGAGCACAATAAAATCGATGGAGCACCTTGCATTGCGATTAGTGACACACCCTACTGGTTAGGGTGTTTCGCTGAGCCTCGGCCCGGACGTGGCCGCCGGCCGGTCGAAGCCATTTATCAGGCGCAAGGGTCGCTTGTTGCCAGTCTGTCGCCTGTCCTTCTGTCCTGGGAGTGTCATCTGTTCAGTGTCTGCAGAGGGTCTGCTGCTCAGTGTCCTGTTTCCATGGGTTTGCACTGTTCAGTGTCTGGTCCTGCAGGTCTGCTGCTCAGTGTTTTGGGTTTGCTGCTCCGGTCTGTTAAACGTGATAGGTACGTATTTACTTTTACAGTTTACAACCATGGCTAGGAACACTGAGACATTTCCTTTTTTCATTCCTAAAAGTAGTATGTGTGAGTGTATATTCTATCGACTACAAGGCTGTTCATTACTGTATTGTAGAGATGTCAATCGGATACCAACTTTTTGGTATACCAATACCAAACCGATACCAACTCGGTATTTGGTATTTCAATTATAATGTGTTTGGTATT